CACACGCGTCCGGGTAATAATAGCCCGTGGAGAGTTTTTGGCGGGAATTATTATGTCGATAACTTGACTCGAGTATTATTGTTATAACTCGTACTCTCCCGAGCTTTTCTTATCGCATTCAAGTGCAAACAAGACATTTTCTTCAGCTTTCTCCGCGAGATGAACGAGTGAAAGTCGTAAATCGATTCTTCAACTCGCGAAATATTATAATTTAATGCAGTACATTTCGAAAAAATCGACACAAAGAGATAAATAACAGAGGAAAGCGTTTTTCAAGAAAAAAATAATTTTTCAAAACTCTTGGATTAATTTTATTTCTAATCCTTAAGGCTAGATGCAAGAAAAATTGACCGACACGCAGCGAAATATATAAACCAGCAGTTAAAACTAAGGTAGCGAATCCATTTTTTCGCGTTATTAGTTGACAAAAATTAAAGCAGCACTAATCGACGTATGAACACGTGTAAAATTAATATTTCATAGATATTTACATTTATAATTATGGAAGAGACGTTTATCGGCCACATAATGAGTACAGCGGGAATAAACGTGAGCTTATGCGATGCAGATGCGCCATCGCGTTCACCATTGAGTTTCATAACGCGATTGTAATTAACCCTTTCGATACGGCTACGTCGTACGCGAGTATGCTTTCGCTGTACTCGAGTCGCGAATAAGATTCTATTCTACGAGCCAGTTACAATGTACATTTTACCGTGGAGTGGGTATAACATTTGATATTCGGTAAAATAATATAAATTACAGATGAATTGTTCATAAAGGATGAGATATTACAATGCGATATATTTTAAATTATTCATATTTAAAAAATTATTTAATAATATAATTTCGACAATGGGTAACTATAGTCACCGGTAGTATCGAAAGGGTTAATGAGCAGTCGATATGTATCCTCGTTCACTCGCGTTACTCATATAGTTTGCTTTTGGAATAGAACGGCTCGAATAGAACGACTTTAATTCGCTAAAAACAGCTTTCAATGAATATCAAGTGAAATTGGTTTATCACTCTTATCGCACGTCCGCGAAGATGACTCATTCGGGGTTCCTCCGGTTGAAGCAGCAGTAGTTTCGGCTGATTTATTTGTTGGAAATATTTGCTGCGTTTAAATATGTTGTTGCATGGTTTATGATAGGTGACCCAACCAAGTGATAACGGCAAATGATAACTCGGTTTATTTGCTGCTACGACAATCTTTTGCAGCGCGATTAATGTTCAGACATACTACTGCATCAAGACAGGTAGTGTTTAAACATGTCTAGTGCGATCTTTTAGTGATAGAAACAAACGATGAAAAAGATATGTTCGAATTTTTAAGCGGGCAGCGGGGAGAAGTGTCTTCTCAAGGTCTTTGTAAGAAAACATTCAAAAATATTTGTTCTGCATCGACCGATGTTTCTTCAAGCAAAACCAAATTTATAATTATATTATTTCACAAATATAAGATTGCAAATCGCCATGCAAACTGAAGATAGCGAAATTAACTTTGAATTAAAAAATGTACACTTTAATGGAATGTTAAGAAATTAGTACACCATATCGTATAGTGTTAACTTCGTATTATTCGTATTATACTTTTTTATGCGGAAATTAATACGTAATTGCCGTAATTTATCACCTTTATTTTAAAATCATCATTCGCATATTTTCCAGTTTAAAATTAGTTTTGTTAAGTTAGGTTAGATTACGCTAAATCTAATTAGGCTTGGTGCGAGAAATATGGTTTGCATGGAAATTTGCAAACTTGTATGTGTGTGAATTATAAAAGTGCCTTTACACGAATAGTATTGGTCGATGTAAAACAAATATTTTCGAGTTTTTATCTACTGAAACCTCAAAGCTTCCTTAACAATTTGTTACGTATCTTTTTATAGTTTGTTTTACTGTTTACTATAAAAAATATCGCTGTGCTTGATGCCCTAGTACATTCTAAATATTTATCACTTCAAGTAAACATGTAAATAAGGCAACAAGGCGATGAAAAAAGTCGTTAAGGCTAACTAATCCTATTGGTTCGCGAATTGTTGCGATCCCCCTACTAGTTCTAAGCTGATGAATATAAGCAAGGCCCAGCGCATTCGTCTTGAACTTTAAGGCAAATCGGACGAGACTAAGAGCGGTCTGAATCGAGAAAAAGTTTAAAAAAATAAGCCTATTCTAACTTTTCGTCGTACGAAGATGGCCTGTAAGATGAGCTTGATTGGTTTATTAGCCGTCCTTTATATTCTGACGTACGACGTAACAGCTCAAAATAGCACAGGTAAGAATTTTGTCAACAACAGTTGAATGGAGTTAATTAATATATTAACAAAAATATATATTCTCGCGCACAACTTCTCTGTGTGCGATACGCATTAATATTACTTTTTATTTCAGTTAGTATTGCAGAGAACTTCCCCATTCGTGAAAAACTTTGCCTTAGTATCCAAGAATGCACCGAAGTGCAAATCAATGGAATAAAAACGAGTAATTGCTCCTTTATGCCTGGCTGTTAATAACTGCATCATCGTCTTTGGCGTGTTATGAACTTGCCGAAACAGTTATTCTTCTTAAAAATAAGCAGGATTTATAAGTCGTTCAATAGTGAACGAACCAACTACGATTCCAATATTTTAAAATTGTAATATCATATTTACATATATATTACATATTATTGATAAGCATATGTAAAAGGATAAAAAAATAAAGATATTTGTAAAATATTTTACTAGCTCTCTCGATCCATCTAGCTCCTAGCGATCCATCAGTTTCTCCGTACATACGTTCGAAGTAGCCTTGCAAAACTCAAAACTATAGAAAAAATAAAAAACAGACGGAGGGAGGGGGAAGAACGAGAGAATGATGAACCTGACACTGAACCAATACAAACAAATAAAATTCGTTACGGGACGAATTAATCTTTGCGGTTTTCATGATCAACCGTTTCGGTCCTCGCAATATGCTTTTTTTCTTAACGAAAAAGTTCGTTCATTATCTATTATTAATTATGCGTTGACGCCCTCCAGGAAAGTGCGCGTTGTACCACGCTAAAAAATTCTCGCGATACATATTTATCCTTTTGCGCGAATCTCAGCGATATTAAGTCGCGGAAAATTGTAAAGGGCCTTGTAGAGTTTTGTCGCAAACTTTGTACGGGTTCGGCCAACATCATTAGACATCTTGAAAAATTTTGCGCGTTTCGCGCAACAATCTCATAGTTAAAAACAAAAGCTTAGGTCTGATAGAATTAAATGACGATTACAAGGGATCTGTGTAGTAAGTAAAAAATGTTTGGTGTTTCGGTAAAAATCACGTTATATAACTCGTAAATAACGTCGCGCTATTATATCAGCTGTATGCGGAAATTAATACGTAATTGCTGTAATTTATCACCATTCGTTTAAAAACATCATTCGTATATTTTCCAATTTAGAATTAATTTCGTTAGGTTAGGTTAGGTCTAGTTAGGGTTTGTGGGAGAAGTATAGGCATGAAAAACTTATATATGTGTGAAGAAGCATATAAATTATAAAAATAAATTATAAAAATGCCTTTACGCGAATAGTATTGATCGATGTAGGACAAATATTTTCGAGTTTTTATCTCAATAGAAACTTGAAGGTCTCCTTGAAAATTTGTTATGCATCTTTTTATAGTTTGCTTTATTATACTATACTATATTATACTACTATAAAAAATGTCGCTGTCCTTCATGCATTAGTGCATTTTAAAGATTTACCACCTTAAATAAACCTTAAGTAAACCACCTTAAGTAAACATGTAAATAAAGCATCGATGAAAAAAGTCGTTAAGACTAACCAATCTTATTGGTTCGTGAATCGTTGCGATCTTCCTACTAACTCCAAGCTGATGAATATAAGCAGGGCCCTGTGCACTCGTGCTAAACTAACCTGAGTTGAACTGTGAAGTAAATCAGACGAGACTAAGAGTGGTCTGTATCGAGAAAAGTTTCATAAAAATAAACCTAACTTTTCGCCGTACAAAGATAGTCCTTAAGATGAGCTGATTGGTTTATTTGCCGTCCTTTACATTCTGATGTATGATGCAACATCGCAAGATATTGAAGAATATATCGAAGATATTGAAGATCTTGACGAATTATGTAAGAATTTTGTCGACAACAGTTGAACAGAATTAATTAATATTATAACAAAAATATATATTCTCACATAACTTTGCTGTATGCGATACGCATTAATATTGCTTTTTATTTCGTTTCTGGTTCAGAGATTGCGTCTATTCCTATGATGATAAGTTTTGCTGCCTGAAACGAAGATCTCTGGAACACGTAGAAATGCATGCTTTCCAACAGTATACAGTAACTGCTCCAACAGGATGGTCTTTGCCACGATAGAAGCGTGTTCTAAATATTGTATTTGGTCTTTGTAAGAAATAATTCAGAAATATTTGCTTTGCATCGACCGGTGTTTCCCTACGCAAAGCGAAATTTATAATTACACTCTTGCGCAAATATAAATTTGCAAATCGCCATACAAACTGAAGTTTATCCTCTAATCCTTACCACACCTAACTTAATTAAACTGAAAGGAAGGTAACTCTAGATGGTGAAAAATATAAACTTCAATCGAGTGATAAGAAATTAGTGTACCGTATCATACGGTGTTAATTTCTTATTATTCGCATTGTATCTTTTTATGTGAAAAATAATACGTAATTGCCATAATTTATCGTATTTTCTAATTATTCGTTTAAAATGTGTATTTTCTAATCTATAATTAGTTTCATTAAGTTAGGCTAGTTAGAGTTGGTAAACTTTGATCTATATGGAAATTTGCAATTTGTATTGTATCTGTTTTGATCGGCACTTTCTTGCTGAAAATGTTACGTATTCGTACTCGTACCATCGCGCGCTCTCTGGCTATGTTATTTATCCGAGATAATCGCGAGCGTCTACCTCGATTGAAAGCCTTCAATCTCGTTCTTAAGGATCTAAGGAGACACTCTCCTGCTTGTTGCAGGATCTCCAGTCGGAAATCGAAACGCACCGAGACGTTTACGCATCCTTAAACGGCACCGGACGCAAACTACTGAGCTCACTGGCGAGTCAAGATGACGCTGTTATGCTGCAACGCCGATTGGATGAAATGAATCAGAGATGGCATCATTTGAAGGCGAAGAGCATGGCAATTCGGTGAGTGTGATAATCTATATCTTGCAATCGTGCTTTATCGTTGTCAACCGCAACATTTCACACTCGAATATACCATATATAATAGAACGTCGCGTCGCGGAGAGGACACGTTTCGCGTCGTGCACGGCGCAATTATCTCATTGGGCCGGACGTGATTGACAGAAACGACGAAAAGTCTCACACAATATTTTTACGCATATTTGCCATTTATTTCTAAAGCTCTTTATTATTCTATTGAATTTGTCGTCTTTTGGAAACGAGTCTATCGACGTAATGTTGAACGCTACCATCGGTGCGAAAGCGTAAGGCGCACTCTGATTTTCATAACAGAAATGTTTTCTCTCTTTCTCTCTCTCTCTCGTGTTATCGCAAGAGACAGTTCTCGCATGCGAAATGGCGTCGTAAATCAACGCGTGGAAAAGACCATGAGCCCGGAGGAGGAGCGGACTTTTCGGCGAAAGAATAACTCCGCGGCGCGTATAATGCATTCGCACGGCGCGTGGGCGCAAAAATTCGCGACGCGCGAGTCTACAGTTTCGTATGTCTCAATAATTCTCAAAAAACTAAGTGAAAACATACCATCGCGCGTGTGCGCGCATTGTGTAAATTCGCGGAGCACAGCGAGCTGCGCCGGCCAATGTAACACCAGAGAGTTTTGGCTTTTGACGTGCCAACAATTTCGAGGATTCTTCTGCAGGGTGAGTTTAGCGAAAGCTATAGCGACGGGGGAGGGGGTGAATAGTAGGTTAACTATGAGCTTCCGCATTCCCGGCACGCCATTCTGCTTTGACGACGCCGTAGTTATGCGTCATAATAAAGTCCACTATTCGCGGAAAATAGGTAGTAATCGCGCGTTCAAGAGAAATTTCGTGTCTCTGCGGCTCAAGTGGTTGCAGACTGATTTACCGAGGCGTCGATTGTTCAAAACGACCGGATATCTGCGGCAAAAACCGAAGCGCGTAAAAGCGAACCGCTCGTACGTATGAGTGACGCGCGAAATAATTTACATTTGGGAGGCAAAGTGCGCAAATTGAGAGCCGTTTTCACGCCCTTCAAATTAGCACATCGCAAATTGAATAAAGTCATGAATTATAAAGCGCGAGATAAATATAAATTGTGTCCTGATGTGCGCCGTGATATAATATTTTTAACATTTAACCTCCTCACACACATACACGCGCGCGCACGCGCACGCGCTCTTCTCTCTGTTTTTTTTTTCTCTACTCTTTTTGGGGGATTTAATTTTTCAATAATCAGAAAGCACACTCTATAGAATCTAAATCTCTTTTTTGTTCGCGAGTTAGTTCAGTTTGCGCTGCCGGTTCATAGGAAATTCTCGCAGGATTTTCCAGCGGAAACTTCCAGAATTCGTGATCCAATTTAGCCTCAAACGTAGCGTAAACTTCTGTTCGACTGTTCGACTATGCAATCGTGGATTGTTAGGAAGTACATCGAACTTTCCGCGGAAGCCACATCCCGACGTATTGATGCGATAGCGCAGCTCTATACAGCTTAACGTTATTTTTATTTCGCCCTGCTCCGCGTTCTCTGTCCGAGCGGGACATTGTTGAGCATTAAAAGAAGGAAAATGTCGAGTGTAAGCTCCTTTGTCGATCTCGATGAAGAGCTTACGCTAAAGTCCCCCTAAAATCTATCTGCGGCAACATTACAACGACGAAAATTCCTCTTTCCTTCGTGAGTAGGAGGAATTTTTGCAAGGAAACACTCATACCTACGTAACATCCGAGACTTTGAAGCACTTGAACCGATGCATCACGCAGTCATACATTCCATACAGAATCGCTCTGATAAAATTGTCATCTAATATAACGGAACTCGAACGTTGACGCTCGCGATATTTCAATAACCTCGAACGAAGTTTTATTTTTGCCTTGCTGCTCTCTCATACACACACACACACACACACACATGTATACATTATATGAATTATCGAATTTGTTCAGAGTTTATACTTTCAATATACCGTTCAACGTTTTTCTTACGACGGACCTCTTAAATCTCCATTTATTATTCATTATTATCTGTATCCACACCACACACGCTTTATTTACGGTTTTAAAATACCCAGCCGTTAATAACGATCCCACCGCCGCGCTCAGACAAACTTGGTTCTTCATTCCGGCGATCGGCAAGTGGGTCAGATAATGCCCGAAATCTCACCCACACAACCGGTCGATTAACGTTTTTGGGAACTTTCGCGGCGAATCCATTTGCGCGAGGACTTTAAGCGTGGTCGGTCGTAATCGGATTCCCCTGCGGGAACTTTATAGCGGTGTTAATTCTGGACCCAACATCGACTGAGATCCGCCGTAAACTTTACTCGGACAAACTATGCAACTGCGCGTTTGCGGAGGGTATCTGGATATTTCCGGTGAGAAAGTCCGCGGCTTGATGATGTACGCCGCTAGGAAAGTTGCATCGATTTGTCAGCAGCGACGCGCAGCTCGCCAACAATTTCGCCAACCATTTACGCAGAATTTAGCCTATCCAATCCTGATTTCTCCATCATGGATACTCGTTGTTCAATTCTACTACGAACGCGCTGCGGGGCCGATTAAACGCGCGTCGCGGTCGATCGATCGCACTCGTGAACGCGAGCAAACGTCACGAATCATCGTCGTGAGAGCGATCGTCTCTCGCTCAAATGAGACCGTCCCTTTGTGGAGAAAAAAGAGATTATTTTAATCCGATCAACCGAACGTCTGTCGACCGAGAAAACGACAGCGCGGACTCGGCATCGAGGTCAATCCTGATAAAGCCGTGCAATCAGTCTCCACTAATTAGTCCGAATTGCGGCTGGAAGCTTGACGGAGCTTGATTACCGAAGAGATATTTGGATAGGATGCGAACACAACGAGAGCGTCACGTACAGAAGGGCAGGAAAGTTCACGCTGGGCAGCCATATTTATCAGTTCCTATCGGCCGCTTTCGTTCCTCGTCTATTAGTCCGTACTCGCCGTTCGATTCCTCTCTCTCTCTCTCTCTCTCTCTCTCTTTTCTCTCTCTCTCTCTCTCTCTCTCTTCCTTCCTCTCTCTCGCTCGTTCGCTCGCTCTCTCTTCCAAATCGTCCTCGCGGCACTTTAGAGGCTGCCACGCAATCAGACCGCAAATGCCGAAGCCGATAATTCAGCGGACGATCGCTTTTGGCAGCGGACTCAACGAGGTCGTCGGCGAACACGGCCAATGTGTTATTTGTGGGAAAATTTTTCGGATTAACCCAAACCCCGTGCGCGCGATGGTAGTTTCGCCTCGTTACGAGCTGCAGGTCAATCGCGGAGGAATCACCGCGCTACCGCTAATGGTAATTCGTTCGCATCGCGATGTGGAGTTCCCAACAATTCGCCGCGGCTGCCTCGAGTCCGGCTCGTCAGAGAGACGGTTTGAAATTTTGTTCGTTTCTTATGAGCCGGTGTGCGAATATCAGGAGGCACTTTGCGGTCTCTCGTAAGATCCTCGCGAATCCTCCGCGTTGAGATGCTCGGGATCGCAGAGCGCGTTCTTCGCATTACCGGGGCATTCCCTTATCGCCGGTGCGTGTATGCAACCTGTTTGTGTTCGTGGAAGATTTCGCTCAAAAGGATTGTAGTTATTCAACAGTGGAAATAATACACAGTATATATTTCGAACGTTTAGAATACAGGCTCTCTATTTATCGGAAGGCGTAAAAGAAGGTAGAACGGAAACAATAACGGATACAATTTTAAGGAGGCACACACACTAAACATAAGAGGTACGTAAGTCACCTCCGGTTGCCCTAAGTGGAGCCCTCTACGCTCCAAGAAAAGTATTCTGTTTGTAAAGTGATTTTTCCCATAGTCTCATATTCTAAGCGAAGCCTTTTACAGAAAAAGGATTCCTCTTTCAATAAACCGATTAAAACCGAAGCATTCATCTAAAATTTATTAGATATTATTCTAACTGTGTTCTTCTTATTGAAATAAGGATTTCCTCTTATATCAATTAATTTTCCTCTTATATAAAGAGGAATATGTTGATTTGAATGTCGGCTTCTTTTGTTCAGTCATGCTCTACCTTCAGACATCAACGAATAAATAACCATATGCTCATGGCTGAGAATATTAATTTAGAACGCCTTTTAAAAAAAGTATGTATGTTGCTGTAACATATAACGAAGATAACTTAGCCATATATTTGGTCAAATACAGTTTATAATTTATTGCAAGAAGTTGAATAACGTATTCTTTCTTTTAACTCAATGTTTCATTCAATTGGTTATGATGAACATCTTTGCAGCTACGAAATTCATAACAAAACTGATTGGAAATTTATTTGTTATGATGATCTTATTCCATTCGTATCTACTTATTGTAGAACTGGAAGTACATCTATGTATATATATATATATATATATATATATATATATATACTTTTCGCTATACATTATAACAATTTTTTTTCAAATTAACTAGTATAACCAATGAGAATAAAGTACAAAAAGAATAAATAATAATCCTCTTAAAAAAAGATTAAATAATCTGTGTATAAGAGGAAATTTATGTTAAAATCAATGATTTGCATTATACATGTAACATATAATCTCCCCAACTTTAAGAATATAATGTGTTTATAATATTTTCTTCTTATTCTTAGAAGAATCCTCTTGAGGCCATATATAAGAATAAAATCCTCTAAAATTTAGATGATTCCGCTTGTTTTGAAATTACTTTTTTTGGGTGTACAGTAGTAGAATCAAAACAAAACAATGCCTGCCAAACCTAGCGAGCCGGTTATAACTATCATCGTCCAGCACAACCAAAAATTAATCGCGATGGCTCATCAAGGCGGACGCTTTGAGTGCACCTCGTGATCGCCTCGCTCCGGTCGCACGAGCTGGAAACGACGGTAAAAATCGCGATTCGTCCTCTTCGTAGCGCAACGCTACGCCGTTACTTCCGCGCGCGAATTACATTTTTCATTCGCACGAAGACACGGCGGCCGGCGCAAAATCGATAACAAGAGCTGCAATTAGTTATCCCGACACGCACGGCGGCAGCGACAGCATCCGGCAGTCGGATACGCGGACTTTTCGGACTTGTCCAACATCCGGCGGCACTTCCCCGGCGCGAGCGAGCGCGCGCGCACGCGCGCGCGCGCGTCGGCATCCGGACGACAAATAAAGGTTTACGAACTGCGAGGGTATTTGTAAGCGATGACCGATGCGCGACCGGCAGCTCGAGTCGCGTAAACTTGCGTAACAATCGTTAGCGCGGTTTATTTCGAATGATCTACTGTCGCGCGGTTAACGGGGAAAAAAAGAAAGGGCGAGGAACAAGCAACGAGCGCGTGCGCGTACGCGCGTTATCTCGAGAGACATCCCGGCGCGGATATGGATTTCGCGTGTTGTACACTCGCGATCCCGCGGATACCTTGCCATCGATAGATCGATAGCTGTACAACTGTTCGACCAGCCTCGGACAGGCCGATATGTGTAGTGGCTCGCGAGACTCCTGATTGGCTATATAAGCCACTCTTAGAGCCACTTGTGTCGATAAAAGGGAGTTCATCGTTTTCCGGTTCTCTTCCTCTCATGACTGCGCTGAATAATGCAGAAAGAGGAAACATATTAAAAAGAAAAGTGACATTTCGACAGCTTGACGTTTCGCGTGCAATTTCTAGTGGAGAAGGTTTATCCGCTTACGCGTAACGCGCGTTTCAACAGTTGAAAAGGGTAAAGACGTTAAAAAGGACAATTAACATAGACAAATGTACAAAATTGATAGAAATAAGTAAAGAGGACGAAACCTCAAGATGACGATTCTGCGCTTTGAACCGTCCCCGTTTCCTAAATTAATCAACAGTCGTGAGAAAAACGCGTAGCTAGAAACGACGCGGTCGGCGTCAGCAATTATCGCGACCTATCGATCGCGCTCGTGAATTCTCGCGCGCGCGGAGGGCGCAAATCTCATCGCTATTTCCGCGATACACGTAGGGCGAATTTTATAATCAGGATTAAGTATGCAGGCGCGTATGTAAGTGCGCGGAGTGACCGGCGGCGCGTCGAGCAACGCGCGCTCGGCCATTTCGTAACTGCGACAATAAATGGCGACTGGCAATTAATATTTTTCCGCCGCGTTTCTCAGCGAGCAACGGTGGAATTGCGAATTTATTTACTGGCCAGCTGACGCGCGAGATTCAACAGCGTAATGAAAAACACGGCGAAATGAAAAAAGGGAGAGAGAGAGGGGGGGGGAAGAGAGAGAAAGAGAGGCAGCGAGGAATTCGAGTGGCTGCAAGGCATAAACGTGTCGTCCGCGCTCGATTGGAACGAATTAATATTCCATCGCGCTCCGAAGCGTCGATGTATCGGCGCGAAAAATCCGCCAGTCGGACGAGAGCACGCTCGCCGTGTTTGCAAATGAAGTCGCGTCGCGTCGTTGCGAGAGAGCCTCAGGGAGGTAGAGGGAGAAGGGAAGAGCTTTTCCTCTTCCTCTTATCACCGTCGTCGTCATCATCGAACGGCGCGACGCACCGACACGGCGCCGCACAAACGCCGCGCAGAGCCGCAGAGACGGAGAAGCCGAGACGGAGAGAGCTCTAAGACGCGAGATCCAAGAGCGGGAGACACCTTGTTAACGGGGAAACACGAATCGGGAGGAATAATTATGAGTGTCTCGGTTGCGAACACGCGCACGCGCGCATTTAGATCGGTGCGGCGGTGCATTCACGCGCGCGTTTACGCCAACGCACAGCGGCGGCGCATCGCCAAAGCGGACGAAGCGCCGAAAGCAAAATGCAGCAGCGATGCAAGTGCCTTGTGCACAATCGAAGCTATCTCGCCTTTGAGGATGGCCCGCTCAGCTTCGAAGCGAGCTTCAAACGGCCTCTCCTAATAACTGCTGCGAGAATCGCGTCTTCGCGCGAGCGCACCGCGCGATCGTTAGTCGAGCGTTCTGTCGCGGCGCGGATCCCACGGCGGTAACGAGTCGCGTTTGAGAAACGGGGAATTTCGTCGCAGGCGGCGGCGACGAGAGTCTCGCGAAGAAACGAAAGAGTCACCTTTTCGTCGCCTTTTCGTCTGCTCACTCGTGCCACGTACAGTCCTGAGCGAGCGGATGCGACAAAACAGACATGTTTGGCACTCCGATCGGCCTCGGCGCTCATACGCGGCGCGCGAGATACCGCAAATGGGCTAAAATAACTTCCGATCTCATCGGCGATCGGTCTCCATAACCAAGATTGACGTGGCTTTATCTCGCGATAATAATTTCCGGCTAAATCGCGAGCGAGCGAGCGACAGCCCACCGCCGTATATTCGAGCCGTCGTCCCGCGTATCTCACGGAGACAAGTCGCGACGGCAAAAACATTCGCCGCGACACCGCCGAGCGCGCGCACGCGCATGCGCAGGACGCGACGTTTGATCCATCGCCGAACCGGAACTGACAGCCAGATAATCGCGGAGTCGTGACGAATCGCCGGCGAACTCTTATCAGTTGGTCCCCGTGCATCGCCGCTCTCGTCCCTCTCCTCGTCCCCCCCCTCCTCACGTTCTCTCTTTCGCTCTCGCTGTCGCTACGCCGCCCGGTACGAACGAAACACGGGCAGGGTACGTCTGTCACGTACAGCTTCGACTCGCTTCTCGCTCGTCTGGACCTTTTTGTCCCTCTCCTCGCCCTCTCTCTCGGTCCTGCTCGTTCTGTTGAATTCTCCTGCGCTCTCTCGCTCTCTCCCCCCCCCCCTCTCTCTCTCTCTCTCTCTCTCTCTCTCTCTCTCTGTCTCGATTGCAGCAAATCGAAGTTATTTTTACGTGACGTCGCGTGTGTGGTCGGTAACGGAAAGACGTGGTGACGGCGCTCGATACCGAAACGAATGACCGTGAGCAGGAAATTTGTTGGGGTCGTTCAGCGGGCGCGAAGAAGTGGTTGGCGACGGTGAGAACGAGAGAGAGAGAGAGAGAGAGAGAGAGAGAGAGAGAGGAGGAGGAGGGGGGGGGGGGGGAGAGAGAGAGAGAGAGAGGCTGGTTGAGGAGAGCAAGTCGAACCGGTTTGTCGATTTCCCACGGAACTTGAATCGCGACGCCTTCGTGACTGGAACGCGAGAATGCGGCCTGGAAAGCGGACCATACATAAAGATGGAAAGTCGCGGGGGATAATAATGGGCGGGGGATGATGACGGCGCTTACGCTCGCGATCAATTGGCACGGCGACGTTGAAAGGTTCCGTCGCAATGTGCACGCACGGTCACTCGAGAACAACGGATACGAGTCGAGTCTATGATAGAACTGTACTTAAACAAAATCGATGATAATTGATTACATCTCGCTGAGTTCGGCCGCTTCCCGTTTGAAGCCGCGTTTTCCTGCGGATTTCTTACCAACGTTCAATGAATAATGTTTCCAATGTCTCGTTCGAATAATTCAGTTTAATTCATCAGAACGAATAATCTTATATGTGTATGACTATGTACAGCTACATTTTCGTCAGGAAAAACAATTAGGACCGAGAACTAACTATAATTTTTCACACAGAAATTTCTCATGATTTTCTCAGATGTACAGTATATACAAGTCTCGGTTAGAATTTTTTAATTTATCACTCTCATCGCACGTGTGTCCGCGAAGATGGCTCATTCGGAGTTTCTTCGGCTGAAGCAGCAGTAGTTTCGGCTGATTTATTTGTTGGAAATATTCGCCGCGTTTAAATATGTTGTTGCATTTTATGGTAGGTGACTTAACCAAATGATAACGGCAAATGATAACGCAGTTTATTTGCTGCTACGATAATCTTTTGCATCGCGGTTAATGTTCAGATATACTACTGCGGCAAAACAGGTAGTGTTTAGATATATCTAGCGCGGTCTTTTCCGTAGTGATAGAAATAAGTTATGAAAAGGATATATTCAACTTATTAAGAGGGCAGCGCGGAGAATATCAATTTTGATTTTTGCAAGAGAAAATTCAGAAAAATATGTTTGTTCTTCATTGACCGATGTTTCCCTACGCAAAACCAAATTTATAATTATGTTATTTCATAAATATGAGTTTGCAAATCGCCATGCAAACTGAAAATAGCGAAACTAACTTTAAATTGGAAAATGTACACTTCAATCGAATGATAAGAATCTAATACTTTATATCATATAATGTTAATTTCTTATTATTTGTATTATCCTTTTTATGCGAAAATTAATACGTAACTGCCGTAATTCGTATATTTTCCAATATAGAATTTTAGTTTCGTGATAGATCAGTAGTAGATAGATAGAAACACATAGATTAGATTAGGTTAGATCTAGTTAGGGTTGATGGGAAAAGTTCGCATAGAAATTTGCAAACTTATATGTGTCTAAAATAGCATAATTATAAAAATGCCTTTGCGCGAATAGTGTTGGTCGATAGAGGACAAATATTTTCGAGTTTTTACCTACCTCCTCAAAAAACCTCAAGGCCTCCTTAAAAATTTATTATGTATCTTTTTATAGTTTGCTTTACTGTTTACTATAAAAAATATCGCTGTGCTTGATGCACTAGTGCATTCTAAAGATTTACCACCTTAAGTAAACATGTAAATAAGGCAACAAGGCGATGAAAAAAGTCGTTAAGATTAACTAATCCTATTGGTTCGCGAATCGTTGCAATCCCCCTGCTAATTCTAAGCTGATGAATATAAGTAAGGCTCAGTGCACTCGTTCTAAACTGTAAGGTAAATCGAGCAAGACGAACAGTAGTTTGAATCGAGAAAAAGCTTCATAAAAATAAACCTAATTTTTCGTCGTACGATGATAGCCCGCAGTGTGAGCTGGTTTGGTTTATTAGTTGTTTTTTACATCCTGACGTGTGATACAACAGCGGAAATTGCCCTTGGTAATAATTTTGTCGACAACAGCTGAACGGAATTAATTAATATTTTAATAAGAAGACATTCTCCCACAATGTCTCTGTGTGCGGTGCGCATTAATATTGCTTTCTATCTCGTTTTTTATTCAGGCTGCCCTGGGTATACCTTATTTGACGGTACTTGCTGTCTGAATTTAATAAAATATAATTGCATAAAAGAGCCTGTTCCCTTGGAATATGAAATTGTTGGAAGTGCTACTATTAATTTTTGTAGACCAGTCTATACTAATAACTGCACCAAAATCGATGGACATATTTTCGACGACATATCAGATTGCTGTATGAAATGCCCTTCTCTAATATGAGCGGGATTTATAAGTCGTTCAATAATAAACGAACTAACGATGATTCCAATATTCTAAAATTGTAATATCATACTTACATATATATTACATATTAATGGTAAGTACATGTAAAAAGATAAAAAAATAAAGATATGACTGTAAAAACTAATAAAAATAAAGATATTTGAAAGATATTTTAACTAACTCTGATAGTCCAGTTTTTCTGTACATTTGTTCGTGAGTGTCTCAGACATATTAGATAAGACACATTCAAGTTTCTAAGGGACATTGAGAAGAGGAGTTAAAGTTTTTGTAAGAAAAAATTCAAAAATATATATTTTGTACCGACCAGTATTTCTCTACATACAGATGCATAAGATGTATTCCTACCGAAGCTGTTGGAACTAATACTGTTAATGTTTGTTAGCTGTTCGTTATCAATAACTGCATCGAAATGACGAGAAGATATCAGATTTCGACAAAATGTCAGATTAATGTAAGAATTGCACTTTCCTAATATGAGCGGGATTTATAAATTGTTCAGTAGTAAACAAACCAACGATAATTTCAATATTTTAATATTATAATATCATATTTACATAAATAATGCATGTTAATGATAAGCACATGTAAAAAGAAAAAGTATTAAAGATATTTAAAAAATATTTTGCTAACTATGATGATTTTTCCGTATATTCGTCCGAGATAGTCTTAAAAAACCCAAAATTGCAGAGAAAATGAAAAAACAAAAGCAGAGAGAAAGGGGTGACGGGGAAAGGAGGGAGAGGGGCAGAGAGAGAGAGAGAGAGAGAGAGAGAGAGAGAGAGAGAGAGAGAGAGAGAGAGAATGATCGAACATTGCACCAATGGAAACGAATAAAATTCACTACGAGACAAATTAATTTTTACGATTTTCATAATTAATCATAGGGATCCTCGCGATATGTTATTTTTTCTTCCGACGAGACAGTTTATTAATTATCGTGCGCCGACAGTCTCGAAGAAAATGTGCGTCGTTCTACACAAATATATCGCGTCGATGCTTATGATGAATTTACATATGCAGATATATAAATTTTGAAATATTTAGAATAAGTAACACCTACTTTAATGCAGTACAATATTCATGTATGTACACCTCGAAAAATCGGTTCTGTACAGTTCACAGAGATTAACAATTTTCCCTCTCAGTGTGAGAAAACGAAGAAACCGAGAATTGCTCACACGAGTCTCACGCGGCAATGTGAACGGCGAGAAGCTAAATGCGCGTCATTAATCGAGGATCAGAGCGAACTAATTTACCAATCCGCACTCGCTATCCACACAAGTCGTCTACACAAGTTCGGAGTCTCGTTATTCTTGAAACGCGGAAACGCGTCCGAGAACGTACGACACACGGAGCGTCAAAGCGGCCTTTAAAAGCGGCCTTCGGCGATCGTGAGCGCGACGTGTCAATGATGCAAGCAAAAGCTGTCGCAGTGGCCCAAAGCCACTTCCTTCCGGCGCGCATCCGGTCTCCGTTCTCGTAACTTATCGCCGGTCCCAGTCGGCCCGTGTTTGGGAACGTGTTTCCAACGGTGTATCGCCGGTGCTCGCGCGTGGCGCGATAATGCGAGCTTAAAGTATGATAAGGTACTAGGGCTTAACGTTAATCTCCAGAAGGTGCCGCAACGCCGCCGCGGCGGCGGTCCCGCATGCGGCGCGATAGATGCAGCGGCGAGCTTCATTCGATAGCGCTATGCAAACAACCCACAGGGTCAGTTTATCCGGGGAAACTGGTAAACGATCGTTCGGAGAATCCATTTATCAGCGACCGCGCAAACATCCAATATTTCGACCTTTTCAAACGCACGGTTGTCGTTTCCTGCTGACAATATCACGCACGGTGTCGTGGAAAAAAACGCCGCGGCGACGCGAGAAATAACGCTCAATCCTCCGACGAGTCTGCGATTAGTGAGAAGAGCGTGTTTATAAAAAAGGTCTATTTGTGAATCTAAGGATAAATAACATTCACAAAATAGAGGGAAAGTCCTAACAAAGATGGGTCAAAAAATTAATATCGTCGGAGTTACGAGAACAATTATTTATTTTTATTAAAGCAAGTGACTTACTCGCTTCTGATGCTTCTGTGTTCTCCGATATCATTTGTTTGTTGTCATTTGTCGGCGAAGAGAGAGTATACACTATGCTTCAAAGTAATCCCTAAAAAAAAGTCTCTTCGCTCGGAATGTAAACAAACATCTATTTTCTTCCCATTTATATACGCGCTTCACCAAGCGATTGTTAGTCATATATCCTCGTAAACAGTAAAGAATTGCAGAGAACTATGAGAGAGAAACGATGTTTTCACAGTATCGGCATCGTATTATTCTAATCAGAAACGAGTAAGTCACCTGCTTTAATTAATATAAACAATTGTTCATAACTCACCCGACAATATCAACTTTTCGACCCGTGTCTATTAGGACTTTATTCTTCCATTTTGCGAATACCATCTGCCCTTAAAGTCCTGGACTATTTTTTTAACACCCTGCATATTGGCGTACACGCCCGTAGAGCCATAATTGCCATTTCTCTCAGCGAATCGGCATGCGGCAGAATTATTTTTAATCGTTATTACGCGCGTATCCCGAAACGAACGAGCGCATTCACGTTCGTTACGCTTTATATCCCCATCGATTCCGCGACGTCACTTTATACATTCGCCGGCCATAATCTGCGCAATATGCCGACACTTGCGAGCTTCTCCCCGCCCGCGCCGTCCTGCCTCCATTACCACGTGTTCAAGTAGGGAGTGCTTATCGTTACAAATGTATTTGGTATTATGAAGCTCGGAAGGGTTAACGTGACCCTATGTTAAAGCGCTTACGTTCGGTTTATACGGGGGCCAGCAAAAAATGAACGGTATGACTCCCCGGTTGCCGCTACGTACTCAGAACGACGTCCTTATTGCCGGGCATTACGTCCCCTTCGCACCAGATGCGACCCAACGTTTGCTTAGCCACTCGAAATCCCGTGCGTGCATCGCAGCCGCCGGAGAGCCGCGGGGGTGACTTCGTATGAGCCGCAGGATTTCATCTGTTTATGAATGCGGCGGGATTACCTCCGTTAATCCCGATTTAAAGGATAGGCTACGACCGAGTCGCGTCGAAGCGTTTTACGGATATCGCGAAAATGGTGCTCCGGTCTCACGCAGAGATCGGTGTATTTGGATTATCGTCGAAAAGCTCTCCCAGTCGTCCGGTTGTTCCGGGAAAGCGGAAAACACAAGAGAGAGAGAGAGAGAGAGAGAGAGAGAGAGAGAGAGAGAGAGAGAGCGAGAGAGGGGGAAAGCGCACGCACTCGTATACGCGCGTGTCGTTTGTTCAGGCGAAATTGTTTCAGTTAAAAAATAGTCGCTTGCAAAAATTTCCGCGCTCGCCTGTCAAATTGCGTCGATTCCCGAAGGCTCACTGGCGTTGTGTAAAAAAAATTCTGGATCATAAAAATATTAATGTCGCGTCATTTATTTCGCGATAATCGTCTCTAACGCTCGAAATGACATGTGCGATAGTGTAGCCGTTATTCGGGCTATTAATAAAATAACATTGTAAGACAACGCGGCTGAAAATAGCGAGACTCACGTGCATGGAGGATTGCTCCCTCGCCCTCCGTTCTCCTCCCCCCCTGTTGCCCCCGCGCGCCACCCGTTCGTCCCAAAAAAGAACTCTGTGTTTTCGTATGAAAAATGTTCCTGTCAATTCTCACGCAACCACAATACTTGAATGTCAGGCATGCGCGTTTCATCCGGCTGCGGGCGCTATCGTTCCATTCGGGCGGTCGTCCCGTCCGTTCGTGTTGTTTTTCTCTATTTTAGATCTATTTCTCGCGCGATCGCTCATTTTTCACTTCCTCGTGCGCGAGCGCGAGAGAGCGTGACTCAATTTGTAACGTTCTCGCAAATACGCGACACGAGTATCCGTTAAACCGCCCGCCTTTTTCGTCCTTGGCCTCGCGCGCGTCGGGCCCGCGGGAGGAAATTGACCGGAAGCGCGGGCGTAACCGCCGGCGTCGAGCTGTCGCCGCGGATACAAATCGCGAGCATTTCCACGGCAGAGCGGAACCCGATCGGCGATGGAACCGGATCGATGATGGCCGATCTCCACCGTCGATTCTCTTCCTTCGCGCTCGCCCCCTCCCTCCCTCCCTCCCTCTCTCTCTCTCTCTCTCTCTCTCTCTCTCTCTCTCTCTCTCTCTCTGTCTCTCTCTCTCTCTCTCTCTCTCTCTCTCTCTCTCTCTCTCTCTCTCTCTCTCTCCGTGACCATGTCGGATGAACGGACGAATGGACTTGAGGATGAACGGCGAAGCGTGAATGTCGTCCCGCGTTCCCGGTGACCCGGCGACTTGGCCCGCTCGAAATTTTTAATTTCCGGTCAGCTGAAGGAAGTCCTCTCCTTCGAGGATTTCCAGGTCGCTGAGGATGCACCGGGACGCGCGCGGCGTCGGGACCAAGCAGGTTGTGTCAAGATCGACGGCGACTGCGGCGATTCAAAGAGAAAGAGAGCTGCGCTACGAGCGACGTCGCGCCGCCGCGTCGTGTCAGCGAGGAAATGACGAGCGGGGTGACATGTGCAGGGGAAATCGCTGATATCTGGCCCGAGAGACACGAGCGATCAAAGCGGGATCCGTGAAATGAGATTTTCGGTGGAACAAAGGAAAGGAGAGACCCGAAGAGCACGCCGGAGATGTTCGGGTCATCGCGATTCGCCTGAGATAATTCGCGATTCATCTCTCGCTCTTTGCCTCTCCCTCTCTATCTCTCTTTATCTTCTGAACGGAAACGCGTCCGAGCTTACACGTGGAAAAGATCCGCGATTTCATTCGTTTCGATCTGATACGCAGCGAGAGCCTTCTTTGACGTTACGTTCCTCGTGTAACGTCCTATCACGAATGGGATCGCGGACTTGACGGAACGTATCGTTCGCGAACACACCGAGCGAGCAGGTATGCTTTCGCGACAGCTTCGTCGAAAAGCCGAAATCCCGGATGAGGGATCGGATCGATCATGCGGGAGAAACAACCCGCATAGAAAATTTCTCGAGATGTAATAATTCGCGATTCCTCGGAATCTACGCAGCAGCTTCCACTTGGGAACGCAACATTTCAAATACGCGACTCTAAATGAAAATCCCAAAGTCGTCCTCCAATATTTTCCCACCTTGTCATTTTATGGCAGAATTTGATTTCCTCTTTAATTTTCACTCCATCGTTGCGCCTCTGGGTGGACATAAGTTTCTTATTGCACGATATCACATTTCAAGCTACCAAACGAATCACTTAACCGCGAACTATAGAGATTTGCAAACGGAGACACTGAGTCTCCGTTGTATTGTCGATGTGCCGATTCCAGATAGAGAACTCATATTTGGCATAAGAATAGTGCGGGTCAATTTTTGGTGGAGCAAACTACGGCTCTACTGTGAAAATTTATTTCTATATAGGGTAAGTCCAGGATAGATGGACGTAGTTTTTTTAATTGCAAATAACACATCTGTATTAACGCAATAAATGGTCAAC